CAGGCGTCGCTCTCACCACCATAACTACGTCCATATGTTTGGCCTGTGTCAATATAAAACCCGATAATGAGACACACTTTACCAACTTTGTAGGAGGGAGAGACGGGTTGAGAGGGGGAGAGACGGGGGTGAGGGTGAAAGAATGAGAGGGCTAAGGGGTGAGAGGGGATGTGAGGGGGTGAGATGGCGTGAGAGGGGATGGGAAAGGGGTGTGTGATATTTCAACTAAGTGAACACCAAAGGTCAATCTCCCTTCCCATCCTCACTCCCCCCCCCCCTCCCTTCATCACTCCTTCCCTCTTTTCTTCACTCCCCCCTTCCCTCCTCACTCACCCTTCACTCCTTTCCCCTCTTCCCCCCTTCCTTACTCCTCAGCTCCCTTTCTCTTTCTCTCCCTTCCTCACTTCTTCCCTCCCTTCCCCTCTCCTCCCCTCCCTTCCCTTCCTCTCCTCTTCCTTCTTCCTGTCTTCCTCTCTTCCTCATTATCACCTACACCTGCTTATTATCCCCCGTATTTCTCACCTGACTACACAAGACTGACCTTTATTCACCACCATAGACCAGATTATCTTATTATTTTTCAGCAGTGAAATGCACTTAAGATTTTTTGCGGGGAGGACAGAGGTCATGATTTAATGGGAGAAGGTCAGGGGTCATGTTTTATTTGGGGAAGGCAGGAGGTCATGATTTATTGGAGGAAGGTCAGGGTCATGTTTTATTGGAGGAAGGTCAGGGGTTAAGTTTCATTGGGGAAAGGTCGGAGGTCATGTTTTATTGGGGGAAGGTCAGGGGGTCATGTTTTATTTGAGGTGTTCACGTCATAGGTTATATATTAGAGACTTTATGACGTCCCAATTTATAAATTTTTAAACTTTATGACGTCACAGAATGTATATTACTGACCTTCTGACGTCACAGGTCATTCGTTATTGATCATCTGACGTCAGAGGCTATTAACCCACCCGGGCACAGGTCACCGATCCACATGGCTATTAACCCACCCGGGCACAGGTCACCGATCCACATCAGGGCCAGGGGGCGGGGGAAAAATAAATTGCACTATAAATATATGAACAAATGAAGAAAAAACAAACAAACAGATCAAGTGTGAGAAACGATATCATTTATATGTTGTGTTGTCAGAGTAAGAGAAACAATTGAGACCCTACAATTGTGTGTAAATGAGGCAGAAAGTCAGATCAGCAACCTGGGACTTGGTCACATATGGCAGCAGGGTCTACCATTAGACAACACATTATGCTTCCAATATCTTCCCAGGCGGTAGTACCTCCCTGTTTGGTAGCTGCCTACTACCTATATTTATTAATATTTACAACTTTACTTATTTATTTTGTATTGACAGACGTGTTTGTTTACTTTTATGTTTATATGATTATTTTTACTTTAATTGTGTGATGCGTTATTCCTTCGTTTAATTTCTCTCTCTTTTCTGTCTTTCTCTTTCGCTCTGTCTGTCTGTCTGTCTGTCTGTATCTCTTTTATCTCCCTACCCCTCTTCTCAGAAAGCACCTCCCACCCGTAATGTCACGTCCCCTCCTTCATCCCTCCCTCCCTCCTTCCCTACCGTTCCCCCACTTCCCAGAAAGCACCTCCCTCACTCCCTCCCCCGGTAATGACACGTTCCCTCCTCTCTCTATTCCCCATCTCATCATAGCGGCGCTCGGGTGAAAGCAGACAAGCAAGCAGTAGTGACGGAAAACTCATACGTGTGTAAAATTGTCCTCACACACACACACACACACACACATAATAAAGGGAAGGTAAAAGAGAGAGAGAGAGAGAGAGAGAGAGAGAGAGAGAGAGAGAGAGAGAGAGATTACTTTCAGTCAATTCAACTTTATCTCACACACTATCAACCCGTAAACCACATCCTGAACCACGCCCTGTGTCCTACCATACTGTGAGTGGCTCAGCACGTGATCTCTGATGGCAAGAAAGCTGATACATTAACACGGTATCCACACTTCGCACCTCGTAGCTAAGTCAACTCCTATGTACAGAACTAAACAAACAATGAACTGGAAATACTCTGAAACACTCAACGACGCAAGACACTGACCACTTTGTGACCCTTTGTGACATCTGTTCTGTGTAGTTTTTTTTTTTTTTTGCTGTGAAATAGAAAACATCATTGAATTTCACCACACACTCAATTTGGTATACCCTTAGACACACCTCTACCACACTGTCAGCCACACCTTTTACCAAACCCCAACCATATCCTCTACCACACTATGAACAACACCTTTTATCACACCCTTTTCCAATACCTTCTACCACATCCCTAGTCACACTCTCAGTTAGACCCCCCTCTACCACACACCTTACCAAATCCTCTACCACAATGTCAACTATATCTTCTCCCACACCCTTTTCCACATCATCTACCACACTAGCAACCATACCTTCTCCCACACCCTCTGCCACGCCCTCAACCAGACCCTCTACCACACCCATTACCACTCTCTCTACCACACCCATTACCACACCCTCTACCACACTATCAGCCATACCTTCTACCACATCATCTATCATACCTTTCCCACACATTCTGCCAACCCTCTACCACGCCCTCTACCGCACCCTCTACCACACCCTATATTACCTGAGTCGTGTGAAGCCTTTAGTGGATAAGAGATATATTGAGAGGAGATACTGAGAGAGAGAGAGAGAGAGAGAGAGAAAGAGAGAGAGAGACTACTACAAAGATTTTATGGTAGAGAGAGAGAAAAGAGAACAGTTGAGAAAAACAAAAACAGAGTGAAAGAGGAAGAGTGAGAGAGATAAAGAGCGAAAGAGAGAGAGAAGGAGAAACGCAGTCAGTAAGAAAGAAACAAACAAAGGGATAACGAGAAAAAGAAAGAGAAAGCTATCACAAATATTATCTTAGTTAGTTATATTCATTTGAAGGATCGCCCAAAAATTAGACCATTAAGATAGTGTAAATTAAAAGGAACCAACCTCATTTGCATAATACTTCAGTTCGTGTAAAATTATCTTCACCTTCTATTAACATGACCTGATATGTATGTATGTATGTATGTATGTATGTATGTATGTATGTATGTATGTATGTATCGCACTAGGTGAACGTTCTATTAGTCGGGTTGACGGTAAAACTTGGCTGGCCAGGATTACTTTGCATACTTATGAACGTAATGGAAATATTATACAGTTTTGAATAGTTTCGAACTGTGCCCTGATACAACCCTTCACCCACTCCTCCACCCTCTATCCACTCCTCCAAACACTCCACCCATTTTTTAACCCACTACTCCACCATCCACCCATTTTTCTACCCACTACTCCACCATCCACCCATTTTTCTACCCACTACTCCACCATCCACCCATTTCACTACCCTCTCACCATTAGAGGGTAGTGAAATGGGTGGATGGTGAGTAGAGTGGGTCGTAACGTAGGTGGAACGGGTGTTGGATTGGGTGGAGGGCGCTAGAGTAGGTAGAGGGAGGTTGAGTGGGTGTGTGTGGGTGAAGGGTGGAGAGGGGGTAGAAGAGGAGGAGTGGAGGAAAGTTTGGAGGAATGGGTGGAGGAGTAGGTGGAGGGTGGATGGTCGGTGGAGGAATGGGTGGATAGTGGAGTGGTAAGTGGAAAAGTGGGTGCAGGGTGTGTGTGGAGGGTGTGTATGTGTGGTGGAGTGGTTAAACTCTAACCACTTCACCACACACACACACACACACACTCACACACACACCAGGTACAGCAGTTTGGACTCATGTGATGCCGATGTAATAATCTCGGCCCCTTCTGTGTTATGAATCGTTGAGAATAATCACTGTTTGTCCTGCCAACTTCTCAACAAAGGAAGGATCAGGTGGAATTTGAGGGTTATCACGCCCGCGGTCCACCCCTATGCCCTGACGCCCTTCACACCCTCATGCTCTCAAGCTCGTAGACTCTCACACCCTCTTGCTCTCACGCCTCTCACACCCTCACGCACCTCACGCCCTCAATCCCTCATGCTTTCACACCTCTCACACCCTCATGCTCTCACACCCTCATGCTCTCACATCCTCATGCTCTCACATCCTCATGCTCTCGCACCCTCATGCTCTCTCCCCTCATGCTCTCACACACCCTCATGCTCTCCACCCTCATGCTCTCACACCTCACACCCTCATGATCTCACACACTCATGCTCTCACACCTCACACCCTCATGCTCTCCACCTCTCACACCCTCATGATCTCAACACTCATGCTCTCACACCTCTCACACCCTCATGCTCTCACACCTCTCACACCCTCATGCTCTCACACCTCTCACACCCTCATGCTCTCACACCTCTCACACCCTCATGCTCTCACACCTCTCACACCCTCATGCTCTCCACACCCTCATGATCTCACACACTCATGCTCTCACACCTCTCACACCCTCATGATCTCACACCCTCATGCTCTCACTCATGATCTCACACACTCATGTCTCTCACACCTCTCACCCTCATGCGCTCACACCCTCATGCTCTCACACACTCATGCTCTCACACACCCTCATGATCTCACACCTCTCACACCCTCATGCTCTCACACCTCATGCTCTCACACCCTCATGCTCTCATACCTCATGCTCTCATACCTTCATGCTCTCCCACACCCTCATGCTCTCACACCTCATGATCTCACACCCTCCTATTGCTCTCACACCTCTCACATGCTCTCACACCCTCATGATCTCACACCCTCATGCTCTCATACCCTCATGCTCTCACACCCTCATGCTCTCACACCCTCATGCTCTCACACCCTCATGCTCTCACACACTCATGCTCTCACACCCTCATGCTCTCACACCCTCACTTGATCTCACACCTCTCACACCCTCATGCTCTCACACCCTTGCTCTCATACCTTCATGCTCTCACACCCTCATGCTCTCACACCCTCATGATCTCACACCTCATGCTCTCACACCCCTCAGCCCAACCTCACACACCCTCATGATCTCACACCCTCATGCTCTCCTTACCCTCATGCTCACACCCTCACATGCTCTCACACCCTCATGCTCTCACACCCTCATGCTCTCGCACCCTCATGCTCTCACACCTCATGCTCTCACACACTCATGCTCTCACACCTCATGCTCCTCACCCTCATGATCTCACACCTCTCACCCTCATGCTCTCACCCTCATGCTCTCCTTGCCCTCATGCTCTCACACCCTCATGCTCTCACACCCTCATGCTCTCACCCTCATGCTCTCACACACTCATGCTCTCACACACACTCATGCTCACACCCTCATGCTCTCACACCCTCTGTCTCACACCTCATGCTCTCACACCTCTCACACCTCATGCTCTCACCTCACACCTCATGCTCTCACACCCTCATGATCTCACACCCTCATGCTCTCGTACCCTCATGATCTCACACCCTCATGCTCTCACACCCTCATGCTCTCACACCCTCATGCTCTCACACCCCTCATGCTCTCACACCCCTCATGCTCTCACACCTCATGCTCTCACACCCTCATGTTCTCACACACTCATGCTCTCACACCCTCATGCTCTCACACCCTCATGATCTCACACCTCTCACACCCTCATGCTCTCACACCCTCATGCTCTCCTTGCCCTCATGCTCTCACACCCTCATGCTCTCACACCCTCATGCTCTCATACCCTCATGCTCCTCACACCCTCATGCTCTCACACCCTCATGCTACACCCTCATGCTCTCACACACTCATGCTCTCACACTCATGCTCTCCACCTCTCATGCTCTCACACCTCATGATCTCACACCCTCATGATCTCACACCTCATGCTTCACACCTCATGCTCTCACACCCTCATGCTCTCTCACACCCTCATGCTCTCACACCCTCATGATCTCACCCTCATGCCACCACCCTCATGCTCTCACCCTCTCATGCTCTCACACCCCTCATGCTCTCACACCCTCATGCTCTCACACCCTCATGCTCTCACACCCTCATGCTCTCACACCTCTCACACCCTCATGCTCTCATACCCTCATGATCTCACACCCTCACACCCTCATGCTCTCACACCTCATGCTCTCACACCCTCATGATCTCACACCTCATGCTCTCACACCTCTCACACCCTCATGCTCTCACCCCTCTCACACCCTCAGCCTCTCACACACTCATGCTCTCACACCCTCATGCTCTCACACCCTCATGATCTCACACCCTCATGCTCTCACACCTCTCACACCCTCATGCTCTCACACCCTCATGATCCACACCTCATGCTCTCGCACCTCATGATCTCACACCCTCATGCTCTCACATCCTCATAATCTCAAGCCCCCTCACACCATGCTCTCACACCCTCATGATCTCACACCTCTCACACCTCATGCTCCTCACACCCTCATGATCTCACACCCTCGCTCTCACACCCTCATGCTCTCACACCCTCCTTGATCTCACACCCTCATGCTCTCACACCCTCATGCTCTCACACCCTCATGATCTCACACCCGCATGCTCTCACACCTCTCACACCTCATGCTCTCACACCCTCATGATCTCACACCCTCATGCTCTCGCACCTCATGATCTCACACCTCATGCTCACATCTCATAATCTCAAGCCCTCACACCCTCATGCTCTCACACCCTCATGCTCTCACACCCTCATGCTCTCACGCCCCTCACACCTCATGCTCTCACACCCTCATGCTCTCGCACCTCTCACACCCCCTCATGCTCTCACACCCTCATGCTCTCACACCCTCATGCTCTCACACCCTCATGCTCTCACCCTCATGCTCTCACACCCTCATGCTCTCATGCTCTCACACCCCCATGCTCTCACACCTCATGCTCTCACGCCTCTCACACCCTCGGTATCACCCTCATGCTCTCCCTCCCACCCCCATGCTCTCATACCTCTCACACCCTCATGCTCACACCCCCACACCTCATGCTCTCACACCTCTCACACCCCATGCTCTCATCACCACCACTGCTCTCACACCCCTCACACCCTCATGCTCTCACACCTCTCACCCTCATCCCTCACACCTCACCTCCTATGCTCTCACACCCCTCACACCCTCATGCTATCACACCCCTCGACCTAACGCCTCTCTCACACCACACACACACACACACACACACACACACACACACACACACACACACACACACACACACACACAGATAATGGATAACAAAAACCTGAAGAAAACAATCGAGTCTGAAGGGGTTGACAAATACCAAATGAAAGAGAGAGAGAGAGAGAGAGAGAGAGAGAGAGAGAGAGAGAGAGAGAGAGGTTCTCGTCGTCTGGGTCGGGTTTGTTGTGTCTGCATTTTCTCTCTCTTGATCGTTTGGGTCAGTTCTACTGGCTGAGAGAGACACTGGTTGAGAGAGACACTGGTTGAGAGACACTCTGAGTTTGAGAGATAAGTAAAGGAGAAAATATAATAAAAACAAACAATATATATATATATATATATATATATATATATATATATATATATATATATATATATATATATATATATATATATATATATATATATATCGTAACTCTTGACATGAGAGAGATAGCTGAGACACACTACTGAGAGATACATTCACAGGAAGCTTAATAATTATCTCTCAACACTCGTGCCGGCGGTGGAGACATGGGGAGAGATGATTCACTTAAAGAGACAGAACGTGCGGGTATGAAGATGTATAAAGAAAAAGTGTGTGTGTGTGTGTGTGTGTGTGTGTGTGTGTGTGTGTGTGTGTGTGTGTGTGTGTGTGGTGTGTGTTTAGAAAAATCTTGTGTGTTAAAAAAATGTGTGTGTTAAAAGAAAGTGTGTGTGTTAAGACAAATGTGTGTTAAAATAAATTGTGTTAAGATAAAGCGAGTATGAAGAGGGAGGCAGAAAACAGGGAGCGAGGCAGCATCAGGGAAGGAGGTAGTGTCAGGGAACGAGGTAGTGTCAGGGAACGAGGTAGTGTCAGGGAACGAGGTAGTGTCAGGGAACGAAGTAGTGTAAGGGAGCGAGGTAGTGTAAGGAGCAAGGTGTCAGGGAACAGGTAGTGTCGGGAGGAGGTGTGGGAACGAAGTAGTGTCGGGAGCGGGCAGCATCGAAGGAGGTAGTGTCAGGGAACAGGTAGTGTCAGGAACGAGGTAGTGTCAGGAACGACTAGTGTCAGGGAGGAAGTAGTGTAAGGGGCGAGGTAGTGTCAGGAACGAGGTAGTCAGGGAACAGTGAGTGTCAGGGAAGGAGGTAGTGTCAGGAACGAAGTAGTGTCAGGGCAAGTAGTGTCAGGGAACGGGTAGTGTCAGGGAAGCGATGGGGAACGAGGTAGTGTGGGAACAGGTAGTGTCAGGGAACGAGTAGTGTCAGGAGAAGGTAGTGTCGAGACGAAGTAGTGTCAGGGAACGGAGGTAGTGTCAGGGAACGAGGTGGTCAGAGACGAGGTGGTCAGGAAACGAGGTAGTGTCAGGGAACGAGGTAGTCAGGGAACAGAGACAGTGTCAGGGAACGAGGCAGTGTCAGGGAACGAGGTAGTGTCAGGGAACGAGGTAGTGTCAGAACGAGGTAGTGTCAGAACAGAAGTAGTGTCAGGGGCGAGGTAGTGTCAGGAACAGGTAGTGTCAGGAACGAGGTAGTGTCAGGGAACAGGTAGTGTCAGGGAACGAGGCAGTGTCAGGGAACGAGGTAGTGTTAGGGAACGAGATAGTATCAGGGAAAGAGGAAGTATCAGGGAAGAGGTAGTGTGTCAGGGAACAGAAATGGAGTATCAGGGGCAAGGCAGCATCAAGGAACGGTGAGTGTCAGGGAACAGGTAGTGTCAGGGAACGGGGTAGTGTCAGGAACGAGGTAGTGTCAGGGAACAGGTAGTGTCAGGGGCGAGGTGAGTGTCAGGGAACGAGGTAGTGTCAAGGAACAGGTAGTGTCAGGGAACAGAGGTAGTGTCAGGAACAGGTAGTGTCAGAATGAATGAGTGTCAGGAACGAGGTAGTGTCAGGGAACGAGGTAGTGTCAGGGAACAGGTAGTGTCAGGGAACAGGTAGTGTCAGGGAACAGGTAGTGTCAGGGAACGAGGTAGTGTTAGGGAACGAGGTAGTATCAGGGAAAGAGGAAGTGAGGGAAAGAGGTGGTCAGGGGACAGAAGTAGTTTCAGGGGCAGGCAGCATCAGGGAGACAGGTAGTGTCAGGGAACAGGTAGTGTCAGGGGCAGGTAGTGTCAGGGAACAGGTAGTGTCAGGGAACGAGGTAGTGTCAGGAGCGAGGTAGTGTCAGGAACAGGTAGTGTCAGGGAGCAGGTAGTGTCAGGGAACAATGGTGTCAGGGCAGGTAGTGTCAGGAACAGATAGTGTCAGGGAACGAGGTAGTGTCAGGAGACAGTGTGTCAGGGACAGGTAGTGTCAGGGAACGAGGTAGTGTCAGGGAAGCAGGTAGTATCAGGGAACGAGGTGAGTGTCAGGGAATGAGGTAGTGTCGGGGAACGAGGTAGTCAGGGAGCGAGGTAGTGTCAGGAACGAGGTAGTGTCAGGGAACGAGGTAGTCAGGGAGCGAAGGTGAGTTCAGGAACAGGTAGTGTCAGGAACGAGGTAGTGTCAGGGAACAGGTAGTGTCAGGGAACAGGTAGTGTCAGGGAACGAGGTAGTGTCAGGGAACAGGTAGTGTCAGGGAACAGGTAGTGTCAGGGAACGAGGTAGTGTCAGGGGCAGGTAGTGTCAGGGAACGAGGTAGTGTCAGGGAACAGATAGTGTCAGGGGAGCGAGGTAGTATCAGGGAACGAGGTAGTGTCAGGGGAGACGAAGTGTCAGGAACGAGGTAGTGTCAGGGGAACGAGGTAGTGTCAGGGACGAGGTAGTGTCAGGAAGCGAGGTAGTGTCAGGAACGAGGTAGTGTCAGGGCAAAGGTAGTCAGGGAACGAGGTAGTGTCAGGAACAGGTAGTGTCAGGAACAGGTAGTGTCAGGGAACTGAGGTAGTGTCAGGGAACGAGGTAGTGTCAGGGAACGAGGTAGTGTCAGGGAAGGAGTAGTGTGGGGAATGAGGGGTGGTGTCAGGGGAAGGGGTAGTGTCAGGGAACGAGGTAGTGTCAGGGAACGAGGTAGTGTCAGAGATGAGGGAGTGTCAGGGAAAGGGTAGTGTCAGGGAACGAGGTGGTGTCAGGGGACGAGGTGTGTCAGGGGAATGGGGAGTGTCAGGGAACAGGGTGAGTGTCAGGGAATGAGGTAGTGTCAGGAGGTAGTGTCAGGGGGCAAGGAAGGGCAGTGTCAGGGGAACGAGGTAGTGTCAGGGAACAGGTAGTGTCAGGGAACGAGGTAGTGTTCGGGGACGAGGAGTGGTGTCAGGGAGCGAGGTGCTATTAGGGAACGAGGATAGTGTCGGGAACAGGGCAGTGTCAGGGACAGATGAGTGTCAGGGAACGAGGTAGTGTCAGGGACGAGTAGTGTCAGGGAACGAGAGTAGTGTCAGGGGCCGAAGTAGTGTCAGGGAAAAGGTAGTGTCAGGGACACGAGTAGTGTCAGGGGAGCAGGTAGTGTCAGGGAACGAGGTGAGTGGCAGGGGGGCAGGGCAGCAGCAGGGAGCG